GGAGTTTTTCCTTCCCACTGTCGCCAAAGTGCTGCTCATAGGGGGTCATATGATTGTTGGGTTTTTCTCTGTATTATTGTCTTCATCTTATTGTGATTTGTCACTGTTTAAATTCCACTGAATTAAATTCAATCTCATATGCATCTAATTTTAAACATCTGAGATGTATTTTGTGTTCTGTGAATAAAATCTAAGAGTTTATTAGATGCACAAATTATCTGTGTTTGTTTACACTGGTGGTGTATTGTGCAAACACAGAAAAACTGTCCACTGTCATTGACAATGGTCAACTGACTAGTTGCCACACTCAGGATAACAGCAGTGTGTATCCAAACATATGATTATATGTATGGGTGCACACCACATACAAACATGCTGACTGCAGACTAACGAGTAGCTGGTGTGCTGCTGTCGTCTCCGGGCGCTCCTTATCTTCTCAAAGCGAGCCTCCATTTCCTCCAGCACCTTCGGGGTGTAGCGGACCACCAACTTGACTGATCCCTGTGCAGCCTTCAGCAGCTCAACAGCCTTTTCATGGTGCTCACCTTCAACACTCTGCATGAAGACCAACACAAAACAAAAGTCTCACATGCTACAAGAAGCCGTTTCTTCCGACTACGTTTACTCTTTCAGCCATAAAGTGAACATTTGATGACCTCCCTCTACCCTTAATGATGTGGTTTGACAGCGATGGGAATAGGTTGTGGGTTTTTCCGAGGGTTGCCCTGGTGAGCTGTGCAGAGATCACCCTCATTAACTTCTGATGCACACCCACTCATTTTGTTCTGGAAGGGGGCAGAAGCTGCTCCGTTCAGAAGAGAGAACAAGACTTCTTATCAACCCTTTCCAAGAGCAAAGGACAGTGCTAACCTGTTTCAGCTACGACGATGCACTGACATGCACTTCTACAGTATTCCTTCGTTTTAGAGAGATGGATACACTCTTATGTTTTCACATCTCTTGTCACGTATGGCTAGAGTACCTCTCCAACCTCCCAGTGACGTGGGCTGGGCAACCAGTTCTACCTCTCAGGGTGCCAGTAACCTGTTCTTATGGTTACATCTGAGTCACATTAAAGCGACTGATGGAGGATCTTTAACACCTTCACTATCAATGTTGGATAAGGTGAGTGAACGAGGTAGAGACTGTAGGTTAAGAGCAGTCTTTTAGGTTTTCCACTGCATTTAGGAATCATTTAAAGCTGTTGCACAGATCCTCTACATCTTTCTCAGCATGTCAGCATAAGAAACACTGCACCATCATCACTGCACAGCATCAGTGGGCTTAAGGAGGTCCTCAGAGTATCGAGTCTGTCGTCCCATTGTCCCAGTGGGAACAACAGTGAGATCTGGAGGGACCTGACAGGAGGAATGGCCCCCGAACCCCACCCATCACACTTTGCACCTGACCCCTACAACACCTTATCCAGACCAACAGGTAGGCTAAATGAATCAATTAGTATCAAACAGTATCAATTATTGATATCAATTATAATATACTGATTCTGTACATTCATGTAGATGTTCTGCTGAACATACATAAAGTACAAAATGAACTAGAATATTAATAAATGTGACTGTTGATGCGCCTGACCTAAAAACAAAGTGTAAATGTGCCGTATATGTGTTTGTGTTTATGTTTGAATTTACAAATGATACAGACTGGTTTTAAACGGGGGCTTGAAACTGGATAAATACTTGTAGTTAACATTTTTACAATAATGCCAGGATTCAGTGACTGCTTCTGGTCTGTGTGCACCTCCTCTCAGCAGGTTGTAAGTGGGCTTCTGTGATCTTCTTACCACACCATTGACGGAAAGTAGCTGGTCTCCTCTCTTCAGCCCACCTTGGCGGTCAGCCACTCCTCCAGGGATAACTCTTGAGATATAGATGGGAGAGTTTTGCTCTTTTCCACCCATGATGTTGAAGCCCAGCCCCTCTTCTGTCTTGGGCAGTTCTACCACCCTTGGGTGGGCGTGCCCCTCACTGGCTGCAAAGGCTGCCACTGTGGCCTAATCAGAGAGGAAACCACATGATGAGCAAAACAACAAGTTCGATTTCACATCTGCAGTTACCTCCATTTGTTACACAAAACAGAGGATCTGACAGCACACAGGTGGGAGGACAGACATGCTGCATTCAAAGGATGCAATACAAAACAAGCTATTTCCCACAGTGGTAGTGTTAAACGTGGGCCTGTTTATAGACTGATAAAGTCCACAGCATGTCTTCATCCTGTCTTCCTTCTCTCACACCAACCAATCACAGCAGATGGCCCCGCCCCTCCCTGAGCCTGGTTCTGCTGGAGGTTTCTTCCTGTTAAAAGGGAGTTTTTCCTTCCCACTGT